CCTGTGCTTGTGGCTTGCTCAAGGATTTAAGCCATTTATTTTGTTTGTTTATAATAGAGTTCTGGTGGGAAGGCAGATGTTATGTGGGAAAGCTATTTTCCAGATCTATTTATCCCCGCTATGTGGAATCTCACAGACCACCAGTAGCAAGTAGCTATTAGGCATCAGCTTTGAGATATTGGCATTTTCAGAAGAGGAAATGTATTAGTTCTTGTAAGCAGCTTTGCAGCAAAACCAATGATTTCTCAGCATGCTTTGGCTTGGTGTTTAAAATGGACATGAGTATGTCTTTGTTTCTATATAGTCATTTGACCTTTTGAAATATTGGTATTTTAAGAAACGGTCTGTATTTGTTCATGTGTGACAATAAGCAGCTGACTTGTATTCCCAAAATACATCATCTAAGCAATACTTAGCTATGAAGAGATGGTTCTAAATAAATCTCATTTGAATGCCTGTGTTCAAAATTAAAAATCAAAGTTTTCACTTTCACCCATCTTTCTTTACCTTGGCATCTCAGGGTACTTTGAGGAACTTAGCAATTAAATTGTATGCTATTATGGCAGTGGAATATCTGAAAAGGGCAAGTCTTCGAGTTCCAAAGAACTCCTGTTGCAAAACATAATCTTCAAGATCTGGCCTTAATCTCTCTTTCCAGCACTGATTTCACAACAGTCTGAATTCACAAGTTCTTAAGATTTGGGAGGAAACAAGTTAATTTATTAATGTTTTATCAGGAAAGAGTCCTAACTGGGGTTTCCTGCACTTGTGAAGACTAGAAAGCTTCTTACGCTTGGGTATCTGCTATTCTCACCAAGAATCTGTAGGCTTACAAATTGCCAAAGCCGCATGTGTTGAGAGAGCAAAGTAAACACTGTAGAAAGGCAATTTTTGCATTTTCTTCTTGTTCAAATAAAATTAGACAAAGATGGAAAACATCTTCCTCCTTAGCAGGAGGATGACCAGAAAACTAGAACATTTTTTCAATTTGAAGAAAATACATGTAAGCACACACTGCGGCATGTGTTTGAAAGAAGAAAAAATCTTAATTATTTTTGGATTTTCTCAACAGTCTGAATCTGATTGCCTTTGGGGGCGCTTCCCTCCCAGGTTGCGGTGGGAGGCAGATTGGAGTTCTCCTTCTGAGTTGCAGCCTGGCTGCTGAGATGCGAGGCACCTTCAGGCTTGCTCCCTGCATGGGCTCTTGGTGTGAAACCAGCCTGTTTCTGGGGTATTTCATAGAATCATAGAATCATAGAATGTTTTGGGTTGGAAGGGACCCCTAGAGGTCATCTAGTCTAACCCCCCTGCAGGAGCAGGGACACCGCTAACTAGATCAGGTTGCTCAGAGCCCCATCCAACCTGGCCTTGAATGCTTCCAGGGATGGGGCCTCCACTACCTCTCTGGGCAACCTGTTCCAGTGTTTCACCACCCTCATTGTAAAGAATTTCTTCCTTATATCTAGTCTAAACCTACCCTGGTTTAGTTTAAAACCATTACCCCTTGTCCTGACACAGCTGGCCCTACTAAAAAGATTTTCCCCGTCTTTCCTATAGGCCCCCTTTAGGTATTGAAAGGCCGCAATCAGGTCTCCCCGCAGCCTTCTCTTCTCCAGG